CCACACCACACTCCGCAACTTAGTCTTTCACTTTTTATAATAAGTTAATGTCAAGTGTGCTTTAATTTTCCCGTCTGATATATACACTACCATAGAGCTGATAGTAGATGATATACACGAATAAATAGTATCATTTATACATCTCTAGTGACAGCTATACTGAAATCTAACTAAAACGGCCAATAGGTGGCGAGAGGTGTCCTACATGAAAGAAGCAGCTGCATATCCAGCCTTTGTCAAATGAAGAGGGGGTACAGGGGGTACGGAAGGGACGAAGGGGGACGGGAGACGGGGAGAGGAGGGGGCGGGAATGAAACCGGGTAAAAGGAGGGATGGTCCTCAGTGTCGGAGGATTTTTAATATCGCAAAACAAACTATAATATCTTGATATGTGTACTCGTGAAAGAGAGAAAGAGCCGAGAGAGTAGAGAGAGAGATAAAGAGAGAGAGAGAGAGAGAAGAGACGAGATGAGAGAGGAGAGAGAGAGAGGAGAGAGAGGAGTAAGAAGAGAGAGAGAAAGACATGAGAGAGAGAGTATGAGAGAGAGAGAGAGAGAAGAGGAATGAGAGAAGAAGAGAAGAGAGAGAGAAAGGAGAGAGAGATAGAGTAGAGGAGAGAGAGAGAGAGAGAGAGAGAGAAAGAGAGAGAGAGTGAGAAAGAGCGAGAAAGTAAAGAAAGCAAAGAAGAGAGAAGAGAGAGAGCAGTAGAAAAAAATAGTAAAGAAATCCATAGCAACCTGAGATATAGAATACATGAGAAGAATACAATTTGTATAGCGATTAAATATCTTTATTACGTAAATCTGTGCAAGATAACTTAAGTGGACATTCATAAAATAAAATGCAAAAATTGAGAGAAGGATAGCGCTGTCAGCGCTAGTTTGGAGCACCAAGGGCAGAGTATGTCACACTCAGCTAGATACGGTCAGGCAAGTGCGACGGACGGAGTAAAGATCTCGACGCAGAGGACAGAGATGGGAGAGTCGGACACCGACTGTAGCTAGTATATGATGGATGATAATTTTAGGATAGAGATCACAAACCAAGAACAGGAACAAGGAAGAAGGGGGAGGCGAGCAGAGGCATGTGAGGCACAGAGTTACAGCACACACCACTGCAATTAGAAAGCACCTTTCTCATACACACATAAATGCACAATAGACACTAGAGAGAGATATATGCACTATACATTTAGAGACCCGGCGCATATCCACCATTAGTTTGACATGTGAGATCTCTACCCGAATCATTTACCGTAATCATCATTTATGCTGAGCAGATGGCCAGGTAAGAAAACACTTCTCAAATTGAACCACGAAAATCGCAACATATGAGCAAGATATGTATCCCACTTATTTAACAGAAAGTGCGAGGGGTAGAATAGCAGAGTACAACATGCAGACGATTAGAGAGTAATACATACCAAGACGGGAGAGAGAAGAGTCAACCGTGGGACACTAGTGTTCGAGTTAAGGGGCATTGAATAGAAGATTTCTCTGAAAATAAGGAATAACTGAATCTTGAAAAAAAAAATATTGAAAGGTTCAGTGGGTATCCAGAAAGCGAGACTCTGAGGCACCTTTTACCAGGGAAATCATTTCATGACTTCTAATTAGATTGCCTGAACACGGAAATAGGTTCACGGACATAGGATATTGTCCAGCGGTTGTTTTCAGATTCTAAGCAAAAATCGTCTAAATCCGGAGTCTCTCGAGAAAAATACACCGTTCCCACCTTTACTGCCAGAAATGAGGTCGATCCAACTACTCTCCGTCAGAGCAGCGAGCGTTGTGCCGCGCGCGGCGCAAGTGTCGAAGTGAAAATAGAGCGTTACGTTTCACGGTTTGTTATATCATGATATCGATACATTATTCACTTATGTTCCACTCATGTTATCAGGTTTACATTTATTAGATCTTTACTTTATTTTACTTCACAATTAAGTATCTTTTGGATATAGTGGGAATGCAAAAACATAAATCCAACCCTATACTGCAGTATAAGGAAATTTCGGAAGATTTGGCGCATTATAATACAAGAAGATTGCTAGAGTCAGGATCAGAGGTCCCAAGTTGGGAAAATCCAAGAAAGGGAGCCAGCAATCCAAGAAAGGGAGCACTTCTGATAATGGTCCATCGCCGTTTTTTCACAGTGCGCAAAAACAGGAAAAAAGTTGTGGCGGGCTGCGATATGTGTTTGTCGCGGCACACCACCATTTAAAAAAAAATAAAGTATACATGTAAAATAAAATGCAAATTCATGTTAATTTATGGGTTCACATTTATTTATTATTATACGAGTATATTACACATTGCATCACATTAATGCTTGACATTTGTGGCCTTTTATTGTTCGCTGGAATCAAAGTACATCAATTAACAACAACGGCAAATTTAGTAATTTAATTGAGAGGTACGGTAGTATAGGGGCTATTTGTGAATGTGCGTTCATATTATTTTCAGTTTTTACTGACTCTGTCCCAAGTGCCTGTGATATTATACCATAGATAGATATACAAACACACTATATATATTATTATACATCAAAGACATAATACTTCAATCTCTATTATTCTGGTACGCATATATCTCTATAATTATATCTTTATTATTATTTTCTTTTATTATTACTGTTGTTAGGCCTATTATTTCTTTATTAGTAGTGTCTTTTACTGTATCTCTGGTTACATTCCTGCACTGGACATATTATAATTAACGCTGATAACATATTTGATAACATATATATACCCTCGGGGTTTGTCGTACTACTAGTGGATGCAAAATTGTACTAACGCACGCCTTTGAATGGATAATTTCTTAAAGCCGCACAATGCTGCATCCAGAACGCTAATTTCTCTAATTTACTAGACTAGCAAATACTCGTGTCATGCATAATATACTACTTTATGGACCAAATAAACGTCTAGTTCCTCCCCATTTGACTGCGCCGTTCCCAACAAGTAAAGAGTGGTCGCTGAAAATCAGGTATATCAGCGCCAACGCTAAACTCTGCTTTCAACAACATAACATTGCGAAGTGGTGACGTGACGTCAGATGGTTTTTTATCTTGCTCGCGCACCGTACCGCTGTACCGCGGCACCGCTGCACCGGTTGCTTGGAGAATTGCGGAACTGTACAACAAAACCATCGGAGGTATTTCAAAATCCCTTTTATATAAAAGACAACGCGCAGTGAAATGGGAGGACTAGCAGCTTTATTTTGCATACCCTGTCGTATGATTATGCCATGACACGAAGCTATTTGCTAGTCTCAGTACTGAAGGAAATTGTTACGCGTTTGGATGACGCATTGTGCGGCTAGGTCCATCGCCCGTTAGTGTGCGCGTTCAGAATTCTGCTTACACATTACACAGACCACACACAACACACACATCACACACACACACACACACACACACCCCCCCCCCCACCACACACACACCACAACACACCACAGTCACACACCACACCACACACACACACACATAAGCCATAAACAACCACACAATACACACACCGCGCGCCGACCGGCATAAGCACAGCACACATACAGCATACACAAACACATACACTACACGCACCACATAGACACACGACACACACATACACTACACGCACACACACACACAACACCACACACACACACACACAACACCACACACACACTCGCCACACACGCACACCCACACACACACACAGCAGCACACACACACAACACCACACAAACACGACACACACACACACCACACACACACACACACACACACAAACACACACACACACACACACGCCGCGCTCGCGGTAGCGACATACACACACTAACTAAAAAAATAAGATAGCTTGCTAAGAGATATTTGAGCGTCCAGTCTGAACGTTTTACGTTTTACGTTTACCGGTTGAAATCTTACCGTGCGACATCAGGAGGTTGCGAGTTTTCGTTGCTGATTAGCTTGGGCATGTGTTTAAATATGTTTGCGGTTGGGAAAGTCGTTGACTTGTGTTATAAGCCGAAATGCGCTCCAATTTAAGAAACAATAGTAAAAACAATGTATAACATTTCTCTGAGTTAGATTAGATAGTTTAGATATTAGATTAGATATTATAGAGCGACTTAGAAAATCTTAGATGGAGCGCCTTTTATTTGGTTATACATTGTTTTTTACATTGCCATTGTATTTTCGTGTTGTGACGTTGCACCGCGCTTGGTGCAAAAATTTCGCACTTATTTAATGTTTTTGAACGTGGAATGTGAAAAAAATGAAACTGAAAAAAAACAATTAGCCCATGCAACGTGTTATGATCTGTAGAATGTTTCGACCAAGTTTGGAGAGGATCCGTTGAGCGGTGCGGAAACGTATAGCCGGACACACATACACACACACACACAGAAAATCTCCAATTTATAGTAAGATTTGTCCTAGCGCACGGGATATTCGCCTATAATTCCTTTCGCTATAAATACCCAAATCAGTAGCAGGAGCGTGTACAGGATTTGTACCAGGGGGAGGGGGGTCTATAACCGTAACCCAAACTTGCGAGCACGCGAAGGGGCGGTCTGGGGGCCCTCACCCAGATTTTTTTTCAATTAGACCCGCTCAGATGCGTTTTCTGTGCGAGTAGGGGGGGAGGGAGTCCGGACCCCCTGAACCCCCCCTGTACACGCACCTGAGTAGCTAGAATTTCGAAAACGGATGTTTTCACGTGAGGATTTGTCACGCAGCACGTGCCCGCGTGGCAGGCCATGTAGTCATGTGTGACTATATAGACTGAATAGAAATGCCGCACGTTGTGCTGAAAACGTGCATTACTCTTGCTCAAGCCCTCGTTCATTCCGACAACTCAACCCCATAAAAAATACCGGCCCAGTCTAAATAACAAACACGCACACTCGATTCGCATGATAGCATCACAAAAAGCACGAGGAGGATATTGAATCAGTTTCCGAGAATTGCGCAATACCATCGCATTTTAGATGGGCACCACGTAACATCAGTTCTTATATGATGCGCACATACCGCGATAGCAGCTTGCATACAGTACCTGTCTGCGATGACGTCACCGTGATGATGCAACACTCACGTACACATGTGCGTGTGGTATCCTTATTCCGTAACCGTATTCTTAACCCGTGTAGTGTATTCGATTGCGTGCAAGCGGTACGACGTATGTTTTCGACCGCTCTGAAGGTGTGAACGTTTCAAGTTAACATCGAAGACGTCTCGGTTCGTATATAATAGTTAGAATCTATACTAAGTCTATACGTAAATGTGTAAATACGTAACATGGGTCCCAAAATAGGATTGAGCATTTGCATGTATTTGTAGACTATATAGTGTGCACATTTCATTTGTACACCACAAATAGTATCAAATATTTTTTGAAAGCATTTAGATCAACAAATTGTGGCCTTGAAATTTCTATAATCTGCATTACTGAATTAACATTATTTGGCAAAATTAGCATTTGCTACAGCCTAGAGGCCCGCGGTTGTAGGGTTAGGGTCCCAATAAAACCAATGGCAATGTGCCTAACCCTAACCCTAACCCTAGCTCCAAGAAACGGTATTGCTAGGGTTAGAATACCGTATAGACAATTCGGTTCAAGGATAGAGAACATGGGTCCCAATAAAACCAATGTCATTTACATCAATATAAATATAATATTATATCAATATAATAGGTTAGGGTTATGGTTAGGGTTATTATTATTATTATTATTATTATCTAGATTAATCTATTATTATTATTATTATCTAGATTAATCTATTATTATTATTATCTAGATTAATCTATTATTATTATTCACTCCTGTATGTATGTATGTATGTATGTAAGGGGTTCCTGAACCTAGCACGATTCCGACACTTCTCGCCCTCCTGTCTCTACCGCGGGCAGGCTTCATGTATTGTAGTGCTGCTGCGCGCCCGCATCCGACGCACGCGTGCGCGCACACACACACGCACACACACACGCACACACACGCGTACACGCACGCATGCACACGCAGCGCGGACGTAAAACCGTCGGTGAACGCTAGGTCGCTTTCACTGCACGGATAAGCCGAATTACGGAAAGAGCGCGGGAAAACACGTCACGTCTGAAAACGACAGACGTCACCACGACGCGCCGCCGCCGGCAGCAGCTCGGAGGCTGCGCAAAGGATGAGGAATAACGAGCAAGCCGCGCGCGCGTCAGCATCCGCGATGCGAGTCCGAAAAAACGACAGATTACATCAAAAAATTATAAATTCCCTAAAAGAAAAGATATTCGACGACTCTCTCTGGGATTCCAGCGATTGCCACGAAATTGCGCCTCGAATAAAAAAAAAACTAGATTTATATGAGAAAAAAATAAATTCACAAAAGGAAATATTCGACGACGCTCTGCCCAGACTCCAACAAGGTTAGCACTCGTTCACATGTCTCAAAAGGACGACCGCTACGTGGCAGCACTAGTCTTAGCATTAGCGTTTCTTTCTGGCGTAGCATCACTTCCTGAGTCGGAGTAACCAATGTGCCTAACCCTAACCCTAACCCTAATTCTAACCCTAACCCTAATCCTATTATTATTTATTATTATTATCTAGATTAATCTATTATTATTATTATTTAAATAGATTAATCTAGATAATAATAATAGATTAATCTAGATAATAATAATAAATAATAATAATAGATTAATCTAGATAATAATAATAGATTAATCTAGATAATAGTAATAGGTTAATC